AGTTTCTATTTCTACCTTTTATTGACTGCATTTTATCTTTTGCTCATAGTTCTCATTTCATGGTGATGACACTCTCTCTACATACAGTGTAGTGTAATATGCAATAGATTGAAAAAGTAGTTAAATGAAATTATTTACTTTTAAATTTACTTTTAAAATAAATAATTTCTGACAAAGTTCTTGATTCTCCTATGGTAATATCAACCTATGTACAAACTCAATTCTATATTTTCTTTTACTGAGAAATATTTTCTCACTTTCTCATTTACTTTTATATATAGCTACATTTTGGATAATTTATGTTTCTGAGTAAGTAACCTGTCATTGAAGTAATATTTTATAGGGGAAAAATCTCACAATTACACAATTTATTTTGAAAATATTGTCATTTTTATCTTTTATTGTGACAATGACCTTTTCTTCTTCAATCAGGATTGCCTGAACTGGAATTGGAAGCAATTGATAACCAGTTTGGACAACCAGGAACAGGTGACCAGATTCCATGGGCAAATAATGCTGTGACAGCTATTAATCAGAATAAAGCAGAAGAGTAAGTAATATATTTTATATTTTATAAAGTATCAAATACCAACCTCTAAGCCAAGAACTACTATTCCCAAATTGAATTCTAGTTTACATTGTATTTTGTGAGTTATACATTGATATAAATGTTTAAGGGAGAAAAGAGAGGGTGAGGGAATACAGAATCAAGCAGATAAATTTACTACATGACAGAAGGGTAGTGTACATTGTAATCACCAAGAGATGGACATGGTATACAACTGTTGTTTTGTATTTCATCTATACTCCTTTGTTTTGATTACTGTAATATTCTTGGGACCTGTGGATGAATTGGCCTCAGCACAACAATTATATTGCCCTTAAGCTTTTAGTCATGTAATTATTTTGTCTAAAATTTCTCTTTGTTTGAAGGCATAAGGAAGGAAAGTACTTTCTACGTCTATTTAGTACTCTGATTAGAATTTAATTTCTTAATCCACATAAGCAGCTGTATTCCTTAGCACAGAGTATGTCTCATACATGGCAACCAAAAGGAGACTAAATAGCATTGAGTGTGGTTTAGAACTTTAACTTGGACTGGGTTCCCATTATGAACTGATACACTGGCTTTTCTTTTTCCTTTAACATATATTATCAAAGTGTCATCACTTTCCCACAGAAAGAGTTCTTATATTATTGTATTAGTGTAATTAGAATTAGTGTTATTTTCTATATTTTTCTAAGTTTTATTTTTTCTATATTTCTACATATATTAATTTTCTGTATGTTTCTAAGTTGATATCACTTTGGATTAGATACATATTTTCTACAAATCAACAATTTGTTTTGTTGCTTCATGCCTACCATGTTTCATTTTTCTAGTTTGATTTCTTTCATATATGTTAATTGTGTCATGCTGTCAATAGGATTTGATCATCTTTTGGGGAAGGGAAACCAGGGATTAAATTCAGGGGCACTTAATCATTGAGCCACATCCTCAGCCCTATTTTGTATCTTATTTAGAGACAGGGTCACACGGAGTTGCTTAGTTTCTCGCTTTTGCTGAGGCTGGCTTTGAACTCACGATCCTCCTGCCTTAGCCTCCCAAGCCACTGGGATTATAGGAATGCACCACCGTGCCTGGCATGATTTGATCATATTTGAAAGTAAAATAATATTTGTTTTGATTATACTTCAGTTATCAATAATTGATGATATAGAATAAGTAAATGAATCTGAGTATAGGCCAAATGATTTTTCTGACTTTTTATCTTATTTTTATTTTTTTACTTTTATTGAAAATTATTTTCCCTTAATTATGTTTGTTCCCTTTTTCAGGTTATTTCCGTAAGCTAATATGAAGAATATAGAAACAAAGTTTGATGATTGACAAAAGAATGAAATGTATTCAAGCTGTATATACTGATGTTCTTTTAATTTCTGTACATTAAGCATGGAACATTTTATTGCATTAGAATTTATTGCCAAGCATTTCAACAGAAAATTTTCTAGAACCAGATTTGTACCTATATGTGTGTATTTGCATTCATAATATTGAATAATTTTTTGCTGTTTCATTTTGAAACTTTCTTAAATCTTTTGATTCTGCAGCCAGTGTATCAGTTCACAATTAGATGAGCTTCTCTGTCCACCAACAACAGTAGAAGGAAGAAATGATGAGAAGGCTCTTCTGGAACAACTGGTGTCCTTCCTCAGTGGCAAAGATGAAACTGAGCTTGCTGAACTAGACAGAGCACTGGGAATTGACAAACTTGTTCAGGTATATATTACAGTTGGCATTAATTAAACAGTGCAACCCTGAGAAACCAGAAAGTGACTTTTTATTGTTGTTGTTCTGAGCATTGAACTCAGGGCCTCATGCATACTAGGTAAGCACTCTCCCACTGAGCCACATCCCTAGAAAGTGATTTTTAAGCAAGATTTTTCAGTATCATCCCCACCCTGCTTTAGCTGTTTTATAATTTACCCCTTATTGAATTTATCAAAATACCTAATAAAGGATTTGAGGATTCAGCTCAAGGATTTTAACACTTGCCTAGCATGTTCAAGGCCCTGAGTTCAGTCCTGGGCCCTGAAAAAACACACACACACAATAACTAATGGGCTTTTTAAACAAAAAAAGTACCATGATCATTAGAATTAGAATGCCTTAGTTTTTCACTATGGATCAGAATCTTACAAGCTCTAGCTAGAATAGATTCCAGATTTATATCATCACTTCTTGTTTTAGAACTAAATTTATCCTTCTTCATGCTTTTTTTTCAAGATCATTTTTATTGGTGCATTATAATTGTACCTTATAGTGGGCTTAATTGTTATATATTCTATTCGTACATGCACATAACATAATTTGGTTAATTTCATTGTCCAGTGCTTCCATTTTTCCTCCCCTCCCAGCCCCATTGGCCCCTTTCTTGTGATCTTTCCCCCTCCCAAACCCATTTTTTTCTTTTCTTCTCTCTTCTTTCTTTTTTTTTTTTCTTTTCTTTGTGTCTCTCTAGCTTGCACAGAGGAGAGAACGCATATGACCCTTGATTTTCTAAGTCTGGCTTCCTTCACTTAACATAATGCTTTTAAGTCCCAACTATTTTCCTGTAAATGACCCAATTTTGTTCTTTTTTATGGACCAGTAAAATTCCATTGTGTTTTGTGTATGTATGTATGTGAATATATATATATATATAATGTGCCACATTTTCTTTATCCATTCACCTATTGATCAACACATAGGCTGGTTCCATGATTTGGCTATTGGGAATTGTGGTCTTCAACCTATATATGTTCCATGATATTTCAACATCCTATTTAGCATTTTTCATGTTGTAAGGTTATAAAATGAATTTAGTGCATTTTTTCTTTACTGGTACTGGGGATTGAACTGAGGGCCTTGCTTATGCAAGGCAAGCACTGACCTATATTCCCAGCCCTTTTTAAATTTTATTTTGACACAAGGTCTTACTAAGTTTCCCAGCTGGCCTTGAATTTGTGATCCTCCTGCCTCAGATTCCCACGAAGCTGGGATTAAAAATTTTATGGTATGTGGCCATGCCCAGCTTATGACCAGCATTTTTTCAATGGAAATGAGTGTAAAATACAGTGTCAGAATGCATAGCCCATAAAAAGGGCAAGGTATGTTTCATGAAATACACACACACACACACACACACACACACACATGCTCTCCCTGTCTGTTTCTGTCTCTCTTTCATTCTCTGCCACACACACACACCAGATCACAATTTAAATTACATTTTTTGCAGTGGGTACAGTTATAACATTTGAAAGCTGAAACTCTATGGTCTTATATTACTTTTAGCTATGGATTTTTTTCAAATAAGGTAAAGATTGGATTCTATTTGAGAGAAAAATGCCTGAACATATATAAAAGAGTCATCTCTGATTTCAAGCCCCACTTCTAAACTTAGGTGGTTAGCTTTAATCAAATTGTTTGCCCTTTAAAGACTCTGATTTAAAGACTCTGATTTTTATGTTAACTTATTAAATGTAAAGTTCATTGCTTCTTCGAATTTTCATTGAAGTTCTTTTCAATGTGACTTTACTTCATTGATTTAGGTCCTTTATTTTAATCATATTTTCATCTCTGCTGATATTTAAAGCATCTTAATTTATCCGTTATTTCCTTTCAAAAGCAACTTTCACAAATGATTTCTTTAGGTGACAAACTTTTAGAGAGCAGGAATTCAGAATGAATATATTATGATGACACTTTCTAGAGATAACGTGCACAGATCCAAAATTATATAGCAACACATGTCATTTATTGGCAGAAATGTATTCGCAAAGTGTTCTGCCTTCTTTCTTGACAGGGCGGTGGATTAGATGTATTATCAGAGAGATTTCCACCACAGCAAGCAACACCACCTCTAATGATGGAAGAAAGACCCAACCTCTATTCACAGCCTTACTCTTCTCCTTCTCCTACTGCCAATCTCCCTAGCCCATTCCAAGGCATGGTCAGGCAGAAACCTTCACTGGGGACTATGCCTGTTCAAGTAACACCTCCCAGAGGTGCTTTTTCACCTGGCATGGGTATGCAGCCCAGGCAAACTCTAAACAGACCTCCAGCTGCACCTAACCAACTTAGACTTCAACTACAACAGCGGTTACAGGGACAGCAGCAGGTGAGTGCTCTCCTACAACAGTTTATACTTTTCAAAGGTTTGTGCCAAATATTCTTGTAATAAGAGAGCCCTATTGCTACAACAAAGGTGTGAAGTCTATTCCCAGACTTCCATGAAAGACTCAAAGAACCAAACTTGGTCTACTAAGATGAAAGACCCTTTTATTTGGTTAAAAATGACTGACTCATAGCAAAGCACTTTGAGTCCTACAACTTAAAAGCAATCTAATTTTTGTTTTCTGAGATACAAATTATTTAGATTGGACATCATGCAATTACTAAATTAATAAAGAGAAACATCTTAATATACAAAATAGAACAACCAGAGATTCTACTTATGATTGTTGGAACTGAAAATAAGGTTTGTTTATGTTATTTGAAATTGGTGAGATGGATGTCTAATGATATTATTATAAAAGAAGAATGGAGAAAGGATACAAGTTTGGGAGTCTGGAAGTTGTAATGGTTTAATCTCTCTCATGGCAGAAAGCGAGTATATATAGTGGCATAAATATTTAAGATTGCATACACAGCAGACATGTGGATAATTATCAGGGACCACAGAAAAAAATGCATTTGTGGGAAGTGGGGCTGTGAATTGTTGCTTTCTTGTTATCAGTCCTTCTCTATTCTTTTTAACCACATGGGTGTGTTGCTTTGGGTTTGTAGAAAAGTGTTTAAAGAAATTCTCTGGAGCCTTCCTAATTTAGGAAGCAAGAGAAATAAGGAATAAATTATATCAGAGAGGCATTATGATATAATGGTTATAAGAGTTAGCTCTAGGCATCCTGTAAGACTCTGCAGAGTTCACAGGTATTAATAGCTTCCAGCGGAGTCACCACGAGCATTGCCAGCTCAGCAAATGAAGCCCCCCAATTCCTTGGCAAGGTAGGAGACTGGTTCTGGGGACTCTACCACTTTGCCACTGATAGGAATGATTTCCAGAGGATCTTGATCCTCAGTTTGGGTCTCTTTGCTGCTGGTTTTTGGCTAACCAGGAACTTGAGTGACAATGACCTAATGACACTTCAACCAAGGGTCTAGCCAAGTAGACAAATGAAATTCTTGTGCTATATCTCAAAAGTGAGACATGCTGCCAATGCATGAGTATTTATTAGGGTGCATACTTAGATGGAATATGTATGATCCAAAGAGGGCTGAGCTTCTCTCACAGCTGGGAAATATTCAGCATGATTGTGTTCCTCCATTAGGCTACCTGATCTGGTATGTGTTTCAGCATACATCAACATCTCAGGTGGTCAGTGGGTGGTCAAAGGTTTGTGGTCCAATCAAACATTTGCCCCTAGATTTACAAGGTTGATGGTCTCTTTCTACCAAGGCCTTTTTTCTGTTTCAGTGCATTCCAAAAAAGACTTATAAGGAGCTGGAAAGTTATAAAATAATTTATGGGCTCTTTAGTGCATCCTTACATTTCGGTTCTTTTTTGTCCCCCAGGCTCTTTTGTGTCCAGCTCAGGAATTATTTATGAGTTGTTTGTTCTATATTTTAACAGAGATTTTTTTTCCTTTTTTTCTAACTCAGTATCTCATAAAATTGTTGTCAGAATTAAATGAGTTAATAAGGAGCTTAGAAAAGCTCCTGCCTTATACTTCAACATTAATAAATGTCACCTATTATTATTTGTAAAAAAAAAAAAAATATATTGTGCTATACCCAAACCTTCTAAAAACATCCTATAATTTGTGACCACCACAAGATGTGCCTTGATGGTAGCTGAAGTTTGATTGCCTGGCTGAATTCCATTCTGTGCTCAGCATTCAGCCTCTGCCAAAGTGTTGCCTCTGTTCTGTAAAGTTCTGTACATAGCTGAGTGTGGCAACACTCACCTGTAATCCCAGTGACTTGGGAGGCCAAGATAGAAGGATCACAAGTTCAAGCCAGCCTCAGAAAATTAGCAAGACCCTAAGCAACTTAGTGAGACCCTGTCTTAAAATAAAAAGGACTGGAGATGTAGCTCAGTGGTTAAGTGCCTCCAGGGATCAATCCCTGGTACCCATTCCTACCCACCCACACCGTACCCCCTTCCCCCCGAAAAAAATTCTGCACCTAGTTCCTAGGTTTAGGTAGGGGTGATATTTGCTCTTGTCCCAAGGAATAATAATGATGTCCAAAGGAATAAATATTTAACAAATATTTGAAATAAAAACCACATACACCAAAAAAAAAGTCTGATTTTTCTTGAAATCTCTGATTTCAAGCCCTAGTTCTAAACTTAAGTGGTCAGCTTTAATCAAATTGTTTGCCCTTTTAAAGACTCTGATTCCTTGTCTATAAAAACAGTCTAATAAATAATTTCTTTACCTCATAGGTAGTTATATGGGTTAAATGGAGTAAAGAATGTAAATGTGCCCACTCCACCTAAAGAGAGGAAAATGGTGGAAGAGAATAAGAGAAAGGGAGATACAAGACGGGAACATTCCTAAATGATAGAATAACAAAGAAATAATTTTCAAAATGCTGGGTGCTCAAAGAAGAATTAAGGGAAGAAAGAAAAGAGAAATAAAAGAGATGGAGTCATAATATGATTTGAGGAATTAGTTGAAGATACACCACTTCTTGTTACAGCTTGCAATTTATTTTTTTTTAATATATATTATTTTTTTTAGTTGTAGGTGGGCACACAATATCTCTATTTCATTTTTACGTGGTGCTTAGGATCGAACCCAGTGCCTCACACATGCTAGACAAGCACTTTACCACTGAGCCACAGCCACAGCCACAGCCCGCAATTCATTTTTTTGATAGAGAACACAAGAATAAAATACCTTCTCCATATTTAATTTTTTTGCTAAATATATTTAGGAGGGTCATGCTAGATACCATGAGGAATACAAAAAGTAAAAGATACAAGCAACTGTAGGGTACTCGAAAACATACCTACTGAAAAAGTCAGATCATACTGCAAGCAGTTTGTGATTAAGTGCTAAAGTTAAAAGGTAGAGGAACGTGTAGGTATGCTGATTTCCTCATTTTACAGCTGAAGTCCTGTATATACTGATTAAAGTTTAAGGTTCAACAAGGAAGCCAGGCCGAAGATTAAGGTCAGATTCATGAATGAATAAAATGATGATTTATATTCAGTTAAGAGGGAAAAGATTGTTTTGCTTCCATTCATTTGTAAAGTAGCTGATCAGCAGATTGGCCTCCAAAGGACATACCTGAGATAAGGATGCCAAGAGATTGCTGCTGCTCTTTGCTTCCTTTAAATCTCCTGGAGGTTTGTCCAAAGTTTGATGGCCTTGGTGGCCCAAGAGAGTGAAGTATCCTCCAAGTTGAAGAAATACAGAATTTTTAGCTCATTTTGTTTAGTTCCCTAGAAATGTCTATACAAAAACAACTTAATACTGCCAAATAAGACAATAACTCTGCTGCCTAAGAAACCACATCATTTGGGCCTCCTCTTTGGGTTCTAGGCCTTAATTTCTTGCTCTTTTCAGCTCCACTTATACTATAGGTACTAGGGGTTTTGCATATCTATCCTCTTACAGGCTGACTGTAAATAGGTCTGATCAAGGCTTATCTGAGTCAGTATCTCAGTTAAGAGGCTTTTAGCAACAAATAAAGATAAAAGATAATTCAAAGTAGTGAAACAATAAAGAAAATATTCTGACTCAAATATTAAGACAATTCACAATAGAGGGAGTTCCAGGTATGTTGTCAGGGACCTAAGTTCTTTTTTTTTAATTTTTATTTATTTTTATTGTTTAATTTTCGGCGGACACAACATCTTTGTGTGTATGTGGTGCTGAGGATCGAACCCGGGCCGCACGCATACCAGGCGAGCGCGCTACCGCTTGAGCCACATCCCCAGCCCGACCTAAGTTCTTTTTATCCTTTTGCTCTATAATCCTTGGCATCTCATGGTTATAAATATCACATACAATCAAAATTATATCTACCAGGAGAAAACAGATTCTTCTTTCCTGTCTATAGTCTTTCAGAAGCATCTCTTTTTTTCAAAAGGCTCTCTTCCCAATCCACTTCACACCCCCACCCCCATAAAAAAGGAAAGGGATAAATAAAAGACTTCACATGCCTGGTAAACCAGAATTGAATCACATTACATACCCTTAACCAGCTGCTGGGAAGAACTGACTTAAGAGTATTCATGGATTGCCCCTTGCTTGAATCATGTGATGTAGATGATCATCTAATAAACAGAATCCTATTCTGTCATAGGGAAGAAAGGGAGGGTAACAGCTATGGGTCAGGAGTTATATAGTACCTGACAAAATCAATAAATTGCCAGGTTTAAATATATTATTTAAAGTTATATAGTTATAGTCATAGGTTTAAGTGATGAACTTAGATGGTCCATCTGCCCTTTCTCTTGCCATATTTTCAGTGGCTCATACCAGAGTAGACAAAATAAAAAGGGAGTAGTCATTTGGAAATATAGGTAGAAAAACTGAGAAACAATCAAAATTATATGTGAATAATGACTGCTGATATAGGAAAATCTAAGAGAATCTACAGGGAACTTAGAACAAATAGAGAAATTCAGCAAAGTGTTTAGATAAAAGAACAAGAAACGAAAATCAATGGCAATATTTTTTACTAGCTGCAACCAATTAGAAAATATAATTTTAAAATATAGTCACAATGTGTAAAACTTAGAAAATTATGAATCATAATTTAAAATTAAGATACAAATAAAAGATAATTATGAATTGGAAAACTATTATAGAGATGGCAGTCATTCCAAAATTAATCAGTAAACTCATTGGATCTCCTATAAAATCTCAGCATGGAATTTCACAAATAAGTGCTAAATTTATTTTAGAAGCATCAATACAATCTTGAAGAAGAGTGAAGGTAAACTTTCACTATCAGATATCAAGCAAGAGAAGTAAAACAATGTGGAACTGGCATAAGGATAGAAAGTTCTATGATTAGAACATATAGAGAGCCCAGAAGCACATCCAGACATAAAAAGACTCACTTAGGGGCAGAGGAGGTGGCAGTCAGTGGAAAGAGAGTACCTATGTAATAAATGCAAAAATGTGATAAATTAGGTCTTTATCATGTATGATACACAAAAATAAAGTCTAGGTGTTTTAATGACCTGAATGGGAATATAAGAGTATCTCTGTGGCCTCTTAAAAAAAGACATACAAGAAAAGGTTAATGGCTGCAATAAAATTTAAAATTTATAAGACAAGACACCATAAACAAAGTTAAAGATAAACCACAGACTTAGAGAAGATATTTGAAACTCCACATAACTGATCAAAGAGTAGTATACAGAATATATCAGGTTCATAATGTGATGTTCATAATACACTTACCTTGTTGGATTGATGTCATCTCTTTACTTGCTGGTCATAGCCTCTCCTTCCTTTTCCTATACACAGGAGACTGTAAGCATCTCTTAGGTAAAAACTTAGCATTAGCATTAGTGCCTATTGATAAGCAAAGAGAAAAAAAAGGGCATTACTCACATCTAAAATACTTTGTTTTTTTTTTTTAGTGGATTTTAAAGAGATTGGTTTAAAAATAGATTGGAGTACTGGGGCTGGGGCTGGGGCTCAGTGGTAGAGTGCTTGACTGGCATGCGTGAGGCACTGGGTTCGATCCTCAGCACCACATAAAAATAGAATAAAAGTACTGTGTCCACCTACAACTAAATATATATTCAAAATGGATATGAAAAATTTTTTAAAAATTTCTTTAGTTGAACATGGACATAGTACCTTTGTTTTACTAATTTATTTATTTTATGCGGTGCTGAGGATCAATACTCAGCGCCTCACGTGTGCAAGGCAAGTGCTCATGAGCCACAACCCCAGCCCCTGGAAAAATTTTTAATTAAAAAATATATATGGGACTGGGGTTGTAGCTCAGTGTGGAATATTTGCCTCATATGCATGAGGCACTGGGTTCATTCCTCAGCAACACATAATAAATAAATTAATTAATTAAAATAAAGCTATTTTGTCCATCTACAACTAAAATATATATATATACACACACATATATGTATACACATACACCAGATACAGAGGTGCACACCTGCAATCCCA